TTATTCCACTGCTGTAACACATCAAACTTTATGAAACCATAGTTTCACTTGGTATTTGTGGTGAGATTTATTATTATTTACAGGTATTAGAGGCTGTGTTTGTCATTTCACATGTTTTTTATTCAATCCGCTAGAGGAATTATTAACTAATTAACAAATGAGAAAACAATTTATCTTACCTAAAGCCACTTTGTTAAATGTGGTAGAGTGAAGATTTTCACCCTTATCTATCAGACTTCAAATACTTATTCTCATTTGAGTACAGTACACCGTTTTCTGTCTCTCTCCCTGTCCTCACTTTCACTGATATTGTCATTTTGAAATTTCTTTTTAGATCAATCTGGTAAGACAGCAGCATTGACTAAAACATTGAGGAGTGCACCTCCAATTCTCTACTTTCTCTTCCCATACTCATTTTCCATTTTCAGCAATTCCGTCCAATTGCAGATATACATTCCCTTTGAATGCTGTGCTAAGTTTTTTAGCCTGACAACCTCAGATGGTACCCATCCAATAAAATTTCATTTTTAGATGTTCTCCTTCAGTTATCAGTGGTATTATCTTTTCTCATAATTTTTCTCCATTTAAACTCCTTATTGCCTGACCAACAAAGCTTGATATTCATTTATAGGAAAATAATATCCTTCTTTCTCATGTCACATAGAACTGACAAAGGCCCAGTGTGTTTGCTCACAGACTTTGTCCTATTGGCCTGATGACATTTACTAACAAATGGAATATCATTTCCATACATATTAAGTAAGAACTGGCCCCTCCTAGTATAGTTTCAGTGTTTTAAATTTAAACTGTGAATGAAATGACACAAGCTGCATGGAATCTAGAAAAATTTTAGAAATCTCTTTACGTAGTGGCAAAATAAGAGAAAATTATGGGATACTATTAACTGATATGCATTAAAATATAATAATGAGTCTAAAATACTTAACACAGGAGTGAGACGACCCAGGTCGTGGGGTCCTGAACAACCCAGAGCGCAGGCCCCATGAGTGAGTGAGACAGCCCAGGCCGCGGGGTCCTGAACAGACCC